GCGCACACGCGTGTTCACGCGTGCCCGGCTCACCTGAGCGCGTGCTGCTGGCGCCGGGCCCCGAGTCGCAGTCGGAGTCGGCGAAGGCGCCGCGGTAACGCTGCAGCAGCTCCTCCATGGGCAGCGCACCTGCAACATGGCGGGCACACCTGGGCACACCTGAGATACACCTGGGGGCACCTGGGCATGGCTGGGGGCACCTGAGATACACCTGGGGGCACCTAAAACACACCTGGGCACACCTGGGCACACCTGGGGGCACCTGGGGGCACCTGGGGGCACCTGAGATACACCTGGGGGCACCTGGGCACACCTGGGATACACCTGGGCACACCTAGGGGCAGCTGGGGGCACCTGGGATACACCTGGGGGCACCTGAGATACACCTGGGGCACACCCAGGGCACCTGAGATACACCTGGGGCACACCTGGGGGCACCTCAGCACACCTGAGATACACCTGGGCACGGCTGGGGGCACCTGGGGGGTACCTGGGCACACCTGGGCATAGCTGGGGGCACCTAAAACACAGCTGGACACACCTGGGGCACACCTGAGTTACCTGGGGCACACCTGGGCACACCTGAGATACACCTGGGCACACCCAGGGCACCTGAAACACACCTGGGGGCACCTGGGGCACACCTGTGGCACACCTGGGCACACCTGAGTTACCTGGGCACACCTGTGGCACACCTGGGCACACCTGAGTTACCTGGGCACACCTGGGGCACACCTGGGGCACACCTGGGCACACCTGGGCACACCTGAGGGCCCCGGGTGAAGTTCTCGGTGGCTCCCGGGTGGATCTGGTGGGGGCCCAGCACAATTTGGGGGAAATTTGGGGGTTTTGGGGCTGATTTTGGGTCATTTTGGGTCATTTTGGGATATTTTGGGTCATTTTAGGTCATTTTGGGCTTCCAAGGCTGATTTTGGGTCATTTTGGGACATTTTGGGTCATTTGGGGCTTCAGAGCTCATTTTGGGTCATTTTGGGTCATTTTGGAACATTTTGGGACATTTTGGGTCATTTTGGGTCATTTTGGAACATTTTGGGTCATTTTGGAACATTTTGGGACATTTTGGGAGATCAAGGCTGATTTTTAAGTATTTTGGGTCATTTTGGGTCATTCTGAAGTTTTCAGGCTGATTTTGGGTCATTTTGGGTCATTTTGGGGTTTCAAGTCTGATTTTGGGTCATTTTGGGATTTTCAGGGCGAATTTTGGGTCATTTTGGAACATTTTGGGACATTTGGGGCTTCAGAACTAATTTTGGGTCATTTTGGAACATTTTGGGACATTTTGGGTCATTTTGGGTCATTTTGGGACATTTTGGGAGATCAAGGCTGATTTTTAAGTATTTTGGGTCATTTTAGGTCATTTTGGGGTTCCAAGGCTGATTTTGGGTCATTTTGGGTCATTCTGAAGTTTTCAGGCTGTTTTTGGGTCATTTTGGGGCATTTTGGGGTTCCAAGGCTGATTTTTGGGTAATTTTGGGTCATTTGGGGCTTTAGAGATCATTTTGGGACATTTTGGCTCATTTTGGGGTTTTCAGAACTGATTTTGGGTCATTTTAGGTAATTCTGAAGTTTTCAGGCTGATTTTGGGTCATTTTGGGTTATTTTGGAGGTTCAAGGCTCATTTTGGGTCATTTTGGGTGATTTTGGGATTTTCAGGGTGAATTTTGGGTCATTTTGGGGTATTCAAGGCTCATTTTGGGCAATTTTGGTGTTTCAAGGCTGATTTTGGGTCATTTGGGGATTTTCAGGGTGAATTTTGGGTAATTTTGGGTAATTTTGGGGTTTCGAGGCTGATTTTGGGTCATTTTGGGATTTCCAGGGCACCTTTTGGATAATTTCGGATAATTTCGGATTACTTTCAGTAATTTTGAAATATCCTGGGGTATTTTAAGGTGATTTTGGGGTGTTTTGGGGCGATTTTGGGCAACTTTTTGGGGCATTTTCTGGGTGATTTTTTGGGATAATTTCTGGGGGATTTTGGGTGATTTTTTTGGGGTATTTTCTGGGTGATTTTGGGTGATTTTTGGGGTGATTTTGGGAGATTTTTGGGATATTTTCTGGGGGATTTTGGATGATTTTTGGGATATTTGCTGGGGGATTTTGGGTGATTTTTGGGGGTATTTTCTGGGTGATTTTGGGTCATTTTTTTTTTATATTTTCAGGGAGATTTTGGGTGACTTTTTGGGGTATTTTTGGGTGACTTGGGTGATTTTTGGGATATTTCCTGGGTGATTTTTTGGGATATTTTCTGGGGGATTTGGGGTGATTTTTGGGATATTTTCTGGGTGACTTTGGGTGATTTTTTGGGGTATTTTCTGGGGGATTTTGGGTGATTTTTTGGGGTATTTTTGGGTGATTTTGAGTGATTTTTGGGATATTTTCTGGGGATTTTGGGTGATTTTTTTGGGGTATTTTTGGGTGATTTTGGGGTATTTTTGGGGTGATTTTTGGGGTGATTTTGGGTGTTCCTGTCCCTTACCCTCCCTGGCCAGGTTGTCCAGCTCCTGCTGGTGGTTTTGGGTGATTTTTTTGGGTTATTTTTCAGTGATTTTGGGTGATGTTTGTTTTGTATTTTCTGGGGGATTTTGGGTGATTTTTTGAGGTATTTTCTGGGTGATTTTGGGTGATTTTTGGGGATATTTCCTGGGGGATTTTTGGTGATTTTTTTTGGGTATTTTCTGGGGGATTTTGGGGTATTTTTGGGGTGATTTTTGGGGTATTTTCTGGGTGATTTTGGGTGATTTTTGGGATATTTTCTGGGGGTTTTGGGTGATTTTTTTGGGGTACTTTTGGGTGATTTTGGGGTGATTTTGGGTGATTTTTGGGGTGATTTTTGGGGTGATTTTTTGGGGTATTTTCTGGGTGATTTTGGGGTATTTTTGGGGTGATTTTGGGTGTTCCTGTCCCTTACCCTCCCTGGCCAGGTCGTCCAGCTCCTGCTGGTGGTTTTGGGTGATTATTTGGGGTATTTTTGAGTGATTTTGGGTGATTTTTGGGGATATTTTCTGGGGGGTTTTGGGTGATTTTTTGGGGTATTTTCTGGGGGGTTTTGGAGGATTTTGGGGTATTTTTTTGGGGTATTTTTTGTGATTTTTTTGGGGTATTTCCTGGGTGATTTTGGGGTATTTTTGAGGTGATTTCTGGGATATTTCCTGGGTGATTTTTTGGGATATTTCCTAGGTGATTTTGGGTGATTTTTTTGGGTGATTTTGGGGTGATTTTGGGTGATTTTTTTGGGGGTATTTTCTGGGGAATTTTGGGATATTTTCTGGGTGATTTTTGGGATATTTCCTGGGTGACTTTGGGTGATTTTTTGGGGTATTTTTGGGTGATTTTGGGGTATTTTTGGGGTGATTTCAGGTGATTTTGGGTGTTCCTGCCCCTTACCCTCCCTGGCCAGGTTGTCCAGCTCCTGCTGGTGATTTTGGGTGATTTTTTGGGGTATTTTTGGGTGATTTTGGGTGATTTTTGGGATATTTTCTGGGGGTTTTGGGTGATTTTTTTGGGGTGATTTTTGGGATATTTCCTGGGTGATTTTGGGTGATTTTTTTGGGATATTTCCTGGGTGATTTCGGGTGATTTTTGGGATATTTCCTGGGTGATTTTTTTGGGATATTTCCTGGGGGATTTCGGGTGATTTTTTTGGGGTATTTTTGGGTGATTTTGGGGTATTTTTGGGGTGATTTGGGGTGATTTTGGGTGTTCCTGCCCCTTACCCTCCCTGGCCAGGTTGTCCAGCTCCTGCTGGTGGTTTTGGGTGATTTTTTTGGGGTATTTTTCAGTGATTTTGGGTGATGTTTGTTTTGTATTTTCTGGGGGATTTTGGGTGATTTTTTGGGGTATTTCCTGGGTGATTTTGGGTGATTTTTGGGATATTTTCTGGGGGTTTTGGGTGATTTTTTTGGGGTATTTTTGGGTGATTTTGGGGTGATTTTGGGTGATTTTTGGGATATTTTCTGGGGGATTTTGGGTGATTTTTTTGGGGTGATTTTTGGGATATTTCCTGGGTGACTTTGGGTGATTTTTTGGGGTATTTTTGGGTGATTTTGGGGTATTTTTGGGGTGATTTTGGGTGATTTTTGGGGTGATTTGGGGTGTTTCTGCCCCTTACCCTCCCTGGCCAGGTCGTCCAGCTCCTGCTGGTGGTCGACGTCGCCCTCGAGGCGCTCCTGGGCCGCGATCGTGTCCTCCTCGTCCTCACCTGCCACAAAACGGCACCAAAATTCACCAAAACGGCGCCAAAATGGGAAAAAATGGCACCGAAATGGGAAAAAATGGAACGAAATGGGAAAAAATGGCACC